GGGGTCTGTGGTGGCCTCTGGTGTGGCTGCATGGTTGGGCCTCTCAGTAGAAAGGCCTCAACTGGAACATCCCTTTTCTCTACACTTTGAACCTTGGACTTGCAGTTTCAATCGGGGCTTCCTGTCACCACACTTGTTTTCTTTATGAGGGAAATGTAATCTCTCCAGTCCAGACTGCAGGAGCATGCAAATCAGCTAACAGTGCTGTTTTTGTGGAGTTCTCTGTATATGCAAAACCTCCCGGAATAAATCAGTCATCCCCAAATGGGAGGAGGCCAAGGGACAGAGCAGGAAAGAGAAAGTGGGGACTAGGGAATGGAGCTATGCTCAAATGGGGTGAAAGGTCCCAGGCTGGCCTGGATACCCAGAGGCCCCCGTTGGCCTGTATGTCTCTTTTGCTGCCACAAGATGGCAGCACACTCTGGCCCTGGTACTTGGTATTCAATCTGTTCTTGGACTTGGCCAGGCACAGGGTCCAAGGCCCCCAAACTCATGGCCATACCTTTTCTGTTCTTTCACTCTGCATATCTGTAGTTGAGTCTAGGGAAACTCCATTTTTTTTCCAGATAAACCTAGTGGGAGACGGGACCTTGCTGGTTAAGTGTGGTGTACTGGCCTGGCAGTATCCCATGGCTTTGAGGCAAGGGGGCCACCCTGATGTCCCAGCACAAATGTGTAATGCTGAACTTAAGGAAGACAGGAAAGGAGGAGGGAAAATGGAGGGGGAGAAGGAAGAAAAATGAGAGAGGGAATTAGGAGAGGAAGAAAAGGGGTAAAGAAAGGGGGAAGGACGTGCAAAGAAAAAAAGGGGAAGAGAAGGGAGAAAGGAAAAGAAAACCTAAAGAAAGTGATCTCCCCCAAAGTTAGGGACTGTAAGTGAATGCTTTACGTTTTAAATTTTAATAAGTTAGCCACTCTTTTTCACCCAAACGCTACTCTAAGTTTCTGGAGAAATTTCCAGTGGGCCAGAAGCTCCTGTGAAGTTTTGATAAGCAAATGTGGCTGCCCTCGAGCCCCAGTCATTGGCTGACGCTGCAGCCCCCAGATTCTGACACAAATAATCAGATTGAAAATCAGGGAGGGGAACAGAAGAGGAAAAAAAAAACAGAGACAAAAAGGAGAAGTATCTGTTTGTGCAGAGACTCATAAAGTTGACGGAGCTGAGAGCAGTCCCCAGGGACTGTGTGGAGTTCCGGGCTCTCAGGATCCTCAGGCAGAACTCAGAAAAGGGACAGCTCCTCGAAGGTGAGTGCTGCCAGACCTGTGGTGGCTGGGCTCTTCTGAAAAGTTCCTGTCCTGAGACCCCAAGTCAGAATGGCTGCTTCCCATTTAGACGAATATTGCGGTAGTCTCTCTTCTGGATGCATGGCTCATCACCAGGGGAAAGAAGGAGGAAGGAGCATGGGTCAGTCTGTGATGCCCTATGCTGGTGGAGGAATCATGCCTTCCTTCTGGGAATTTTGAGAGACTACATTGTAGGCTGCTGGGCTTCACCCTGACACACACACTCTCTCTGTCTCTTTGTCTCTCTGTCTCTCTGTCTCTTTCTCTCTCTCTGTCTCTCCCTCTCTCTGTCTCTCTCTTAAACACACACACACACACACACACACACACACACACAGCACAGCACTCTTCTAGGGCTGTGGGCAATATACAACACAGACGGAGGTGCCCAAGTTGGTGTCTCCCAATGGGTAGAGCTGCCCTGTGCCAGGGATTCAGAAGGAATTTGTAGCCTACCCTCCCACAACTCATGATGACCTTCTCAAAAGTTCCTAGGACCCATTGAAGAGTCAGACACCTTCTCCTTGGGAACCCATTGGAAGGTGACAAGCTGAGCCTGCCTTAGGCTCTGGGAGCAGCAGGATTGTGGGTGGAAGGCACTATCGGGGGTTTTTGGCTCTCTTTGAGCATCCATAGCTCTTCCTATCTACTTTTAGAGGAAAAGGCAAGTTTGTGTTCTTGGGTTTCTTGGGAAATAGGGTTCACTGCCGAGATGCCCTGTAGATGCTATTGGTCTGTGGCTGGGTCTTGAGAAAGCCAGCATCTTTATGAGACCACTAGGGGGAAATTGAAGCCACCTCTGGCTATGCGTATGGCAGCACTGGGTGCTTGCAGAACAGTGCCTATCCATCCACCTGTGTTCTTCTAAGCCGTGCAAAGTGGTGACTGTCCTCCATCAGGAGAAGTGTAACATTTCAATTTAGGAGTCACCATACAGAAAGTTCTTTGGGGGAGTCAGGCTGTTCTGCATCATTTAGGTTTGACTGATAAGAGTCACTCCAGTGGTGTTCACCATTCCCTGAACTTCAGGAAAGTTGTGGGGGGATGAGGGTCCCACTAGAGGTCTGGGACCAGATAGCTCTAGGTCTCCCTTTGCTGGGACACACCAGATGGCTCCTAAGTCTGGAGGTGTTTGTTTTTACTCCTTTCTTGTGGCAATCCCAGTCACAGACACTGCTCTGCTCTTAGTGCGGACATGCGCAGACAAGGTTTCATTTGCTCAGTTTTGTTTCCATTGTGGTAAAATATCTACATAAAGTTGACCATCTTTTGTTTTTGATTTGTGTGGTGCTCCTGTGCATGGTGCATGGAATTCAGGGGCTACCACAGAAGTACACTCCCAGACCCCCTTCTTCTTTTTTGTTTGCTATGTAATTTAAAAAGACCATCAATTTCTGATCCTGCCTCCATCTCCGAGCACTCTATTCTGAGCTATATCTCCAGTCCCTTTCTCCTTTTCCTTTATTTTTTAATCTTTCCTTTCTTTTTTAAAATTATTATCATTATCTAGGCATGGCAGTGCACACTTTTGATCCTAGCACTTGGGAGGCATAGGGAGGTGGATCTCTATGAGTTTAAGGTCAGCCTGGTCTACAAAGAGAGTTCTAGGACAGTCAGGGCCACATAGAGAGACCCTATCTCAAAAGGACAGCAAAAGAAGTATTACCTCTGTTATTAGGGTTTGTTTTGCATGTGAAAGATGAGGGGGTACACATGCCATGGTACATGTGTGGAGGTCAGAGGACAAGTTAACGGAATCCATTCTCTCTTTCTACCACATGGGTTCTAGGGATTGGATATAGATCATCAGGCTTCCATGGCAAATTCTTTAGCCACCGAGACTTTTGAGACAGTGTCTCCCATGTCTGTACAGGCTGGCCTGGAGCTCCTGAGCTCACACAATCCCCCTGACTCCCTCCCAAGTATCCAGGGATGAAGGTCCTTGCCCCTGCGCCTAGCTCATCTGATGAACTTTTCGTTAGCTATCAAGTGGATTCACATTGTACAGCCACCCCCAGCATCCACCGCAGGACTGTTTCCTTTTGTGAAACTGAAACTCCACACCTATTAACCAACAACTATTCCCTCCTGCTAACCTCAAATCTACTCCAGTCTCTGTGAATTTGCCTATTCTGAGCAACTACACAACACTTGTCCTTCCGTGGCTGACTTGTCTCGCCTCCCCTGTTCCCAGGGTTCATCATGCCATGCATGCTAAAGTTTCCTTCGGTTGGCAGACTGCATCACAGTGCATGCTTTGGCCTGGCTGTAACTTGCTTATCCATCCTGCCTGGCTGGAACCTGTACCTGTCAGCTCTTGAAGGTGGAATTGCTGTGGATGTCTCTGAACTCTGTGCTTCAGTGTATGCCTGAAAGTCACTTGCTGGCTTCATGTATTTCTTTGGTGATGCTGAGGATGACACATTCGGTTCACTGGCTTTAGGCTTCCTAAGGTCATCCAGGCTCCTGGCCCAGGACGCTGTGAGATGGCTTTGCAGTGTGTTAGTTCCCTCCTTCTCTTCTGCCCTTATACATAAGGAAGTCCAAAGGGTCCTCTGTAGCTGACCCCGAGAATAAACTGTCTTGCCCAACCCTCCTGAAAAGGGAACCCAAGTGACCAGTGTCTCGGGCAAGGTGGGTCAGTCCCTAGCTGAAGGTCAACAGATTGTACATGGGATTTTAGAGTAAAGGGGAAGTTTAGAAATCTCTTAGCCCAACCGTCTCTTCTGAGAGATAGGAAAACCAAACCCAGGTTAGCGGCTCCCGCGGTCGCAGAATCTGACTGGTCTCCACCGACTGTACAAGGTATCTCGAGTCCAGGACAACAAATCCTGATGAGCCCATTAGACTCAAAGCCTGGGACTGTAGGATGCTGTGTCCCTCGAGGCTATCCCAGCTGAGGTTCTGACTCAGGGTGGTGGACCCTGTATGCCATAGAGCCTGTGGGAATAGAAGGTTTATGAAGCATGCTGACAGGGGCCTCTTTCCGGAGGCCAGATACCATCACTGCCTCTTTTTATGAAGAAATCCGAGTGTCTTTCACAATCTCTGCCCTGAGCTTTCTCAGATGCTGCATGTGAATCAAAACTGAGTGGTTGTTAATTAACTACACTACAGGTAATTGGTTCCTGCTTTCTATCTTTCTTTTTTTAAACTCAGCTAACAAGGAAATTTTCTGGGTACACTTGGCTCCCACTGTAGGCTTGGGGGTCTGAACAAATGCCGGCTGTCTTTCTGCCAGGTTGGGGGAAGAGAATGCTCTGGAAGGGAAAGGATAAGGACTTTGGCAATCCAATGGGAGAAACTCCCCCCCCACACACACACACACAAAAAAAAACTAAGACCTCTTGCTTCCCAAGTGAGCATAAAGCACCCAGTAAGTGCTTATGGATGGTGGAGGTTGTGATCCTGTGTTGTCCTGGGTTTTGGTTGTTTACCTAGGATCACCTTTAACTTGGGGCCACCGGCAAAACTACCTTTAAGAAATATGTACTTATCTGCCTTCTACCTGAAGCTAGCTGCTCCAAGACCCTGGGTGGGCTCTTTGGGGAATCAGAAAAATATGAGTTTTTGTTCTAGCCCCCACTTTCTTTTGGTACTATAGTCTATACCAATGGCCACCGTGAAGAGCATGGATGGTATTGGGGAGAGGAGGACAACAGCCAGGAGTCAAATCCAAACAGGACAGTAGCCCTGGGCCTGGCTCTGCCCGAACCTTGGAGGAGTCAGCATCCTCTTTAAACCTTAAGATCCCCACCTGCCACCTCAGGACACTTCCTACTTCCCTGTCCCTGGTGACACAACATACAGAGCAGAGCTGTGACCATGGCTTCTTTTCTTCCTTGGTGCAGTAGCCATGTCTCAGTGAGGACCTGCCATGAAAGGCCTGGCGCAGCCTGTGGCAAATAGACCACACTAAATAACTGCCGCCCCCCTCCCCTTGCTAAGAGTATGGAGGGCCTGGAGCCAAATGGACACATCCTGTGTGGCCTCAAAGCCCGGCTTCTCTTCTGTGAGCAATGGATGGAATAGGGCTTCAGTGAAGGTGCTTAGGCAGGCTAAGGCAGACCCTGGGTACCATTAACTCTTTTTCCCATTGTCCTATCTTAACTACTTTAGAATGTATCTTGGGTTTAGTTGGTTTCCTGAGAAAATAATGTGTGTAAAAGAAAATCAATCAGCTTTTGACTGATTGTGGCTCTCGAGGCCTTCCCAGAACAAAGATGGAGGGAAACCGCTCAGGGTTTAGAGTCCCTCAAGTGAAGAGTTGGGAAGATTCAGAGAAGGGAAGGAAAGGAGAAGCCCAGGAGGAGAGGGGGGCAGGGGAGGAAGGCTGTCCTTGGAAGATAAGGTCGTGGCTGCTGTGTGTACCAGGAAGAGCAGCAGCCCCTCCAAATCCTTTGTTTAGAGAACTGAGAATCTCTTGGTAGAATGGACCCAAGAGACTAAGTCCCATCCTTCATTTTAGAGTTCAGAGAATGGAGGGCCTTGAACTTGTGCCAGCTCTCTGGTTCATCCTTAGAGTGCACCTGCTGGACTAAGCCAAGCTCCCCTCCTGGCACCTTCAGCTCCTCCTCAGTGAGTGGAGATGACCTGTGATGGCTCAGCCTAGGTGCCTGCCATGCACCTTGCATACCCAAGGCCCTTTCTTGCTCCCAGTAATGCCTGACATTGAATCAGGTCCCTCTCTTAACTGATCTGAATACAGGCTCTACAGCAAGAAGGGCTGGACCTGGCTACCCTGAAAGCAGCTCCAAACATTGATACATCCCAGCAGGGCTCTGGGCTAAGGGAGAAGCAGACTTGAGGTTCACCCCCCTGAGACAGGAGTGACTTGAGTGCCATTGCCCCAAAGCTAAGCTCCAAGCTGTCTTTCCTAATCTTGCCTCCCACCCCGGTCTGAGCTAAGGTCTTATCGCCTAGTCTGCACTGTTGTTTAGACGTAGCCAAATCCTTTTCCCGCCATTGCTGGGCATATCACAGATGAAGCCTTCAGCGGGTGGCTGGTCCTGGGTGGGGGTGGGACTCCTCCCAGGCTTTTGGTCTTTGGCCTGAACAGTTTAGAGTACAGGGAAGATAGAGGACTCTGAAGGGGCTCTCTGTCTCCCTGGGCTGTGGTAGCACCACACAGGCTAGGGCAGGGATACAAGCCATTTGTGGGAGGGCAATCACATGCTGCCCTAGAGGACTCAACAGGAAACATCTCAGGAGGTCAGCACGGTTCCCAACTTCAAACTTGGGCAAGTTCTTTGACTCATTTGGTCCTCAAATTCTGCCCTAAACCCTTCTAGGAAGTTAAGTGATGATGTCCACTACTGGAATTGATGGACATTCACCTCTTTAACTCCACCCACAAGGAAACAGCAGAGCTGCAGATGTAGTGGATGGGTCTCCTCAGGCCTCTTTCCATGGTTCACAGACAAATCCCCTCCCTTCCTGAAGAGCAGCCTGCAGGCTGAAGGTCAGACCGCAGCAGCTCCTAGCCTGCAGGGCAAAACGGGTTTACAATTAAGGCTCTCCTATCTCAGTTGCCCCAAGTTCCTCTGTAATTTCCCCCACTTCAACCCCTGCCAAAGGTAGGCAGTGATAACTGGGGTGCTCACCAGCATTCTGGGATGGACAGCACACCTTAAAGTAAAGGAAGTTAGCCTAGAGAAGTCAATTGTCTGCCCACATTGAACAACAGGCAAACTGAGGGTCTTTCCCTATGAGCTTATTTGGAAGGGAGGGTGGGGCTGTTGTTTTGAAGACCCGGTCTCACTCTGTAAAACAGGCTGGCCTTGTACTTAGGGATATCCACCTGCCTCCGCTCCCGAGTGCTGAGACTAAAGGCCTGCACTACCATATCTGGCTTCACCATGAGCTTTTTAATGTAAAAATCTAAACTCAGATTGTGTGGTTTCTCAAAGTGTGTCCAAGTGGAACTCAAGAACATCTCTTCTTAACTGTTTTATACAGGCTTCTTATAACCTAGGCTGGCCCTGGACTCACTATATAGCTGAGGATGACTTTGAACCTCCGACCCTCCTGCCTCCACTTCTAAAACCTGGGATTATGAGCATGCACCATCATAGCTGGTTTTATGCAGGGACTGAAACCATCATGCATGCATTCTACCAGCTGAGCTGCATCCCCAGCCCTTCAAGTATAACTTCCTAGAACCGGGGTTCAGTGTGTCTGATTCAGAGACCCCAGCTCTGTCCTCCCTTCCCTTTCCCGGTACAATTTAGGCTGACTCCAGTTTCTAAGCATGAGTGTACTTTACCTGTGACTAATTCGCAGTTCCAGAGGTCCAGACAGTCAAAGTGTCAGTAAGTCTGGTTCCTTCTCTAAGTTCCGAGAAAGCCACTTCATGGGTCTCTCCCAGCTCTTGGTAACAACCAGCAGTCCTTAGCATCCCTCATCTTACAGAGGCATGACTCTAAGTCCTGCTTCTGACACACAAGCAGTTCTCCCTGCACCTAGCTTGCCCTTTTCATGTAGTGATACTGGTCAGTTTGGATGCAAGGTCTATCTTCATTAACTTGATGTGGCATTCACAGGTGCCAGGTGGATGTGAACTTTTGGGGAACATCATACAACCCAGCACAAGGTTGGGTGTCTCTGATCTCTGGAGGAGGCTCCCAAAATCCAAAGGAATGATGCTTGTCACTCTAAGCCACTCATACCCTTTTCCCCCTTGCAGGTGTGGCACATACTCTGGAAAATGCCACGATCCTTCCTAGTGAAGAGTAAGAAGGCACACACCTACCACCAGCCCCGTGCCCAGGACGATGACCTGGTCTGGCCTCCTGCTGTAATTCCTGGTGAGTCTGAGCTCAGGCTAGGCACCACTCCATGCCCACTTGGCACTCTGTCCTCATGATGCTATGGCATCTCTTCTGCAGCTAGAAGGAGTGGCCTAGCCGTCACTGATTAAGTGAATGAGTAAATGAATAAATGAATGAATGAATGAATGAATGAAATACTCATCTCCTCTAACATTTGGGGTTCTGGGAGCATCAGGCTTGGAGACAGGTAGGGAAATGTGAGCCCAATTGAGATCTGAGGTCAGGGTGCTCCGGGTTCCCTTACCTCTATCCATCCCAGGCAGAGGATCTGGTGTGAGCAGCAGCAGGTGGGTGTCTCTGGTTTCCCTCTCCCTGGAAACACGTTGCCTCTTGCTCCCTGCAGGCAATCAAGATCTGTAGGTGGTGACTCTTGGGTCTTGTTTCCCCACAGTGGTGAAAGAACATATCCTGAGTAGCAGCCCTGTCCTTGGCACACTACTCCCAAGCCAGACCCTGGACTGGAACATAGTCAAACAGGAGCAGGAGATGCTGCTGGACCAGAACCTGCCCAAGATGGCCTCAGCCCCAGGTACCCAGCTGGGGTCCCCACCGTCCCCTGCAAGTGCCAGAGAGGAAACTGGTTGGCCTCTGTGGTAGGACTTCTTGGGGTCATGAAGTTGGGGAGGACCAGTGAAGTCACTGGATGCCTCCTGGACTCTCTGCTTCTGCTAGACATTTCTAGCCAGGCACTTGCTCCAGATGAGGATGTTTGTGTTGTGGGTGTGAAGCAGCCAAGAGGTCCATAGGGTGGTGGCCAGGTGGTGCCTCAGGGTGTGGGGGCTGAAACTGTAGTGAAGACTTTACAGAAATAGTACATATTGGGGCTGCACACTGGAACCCTCAACAGGAAATTACCAGGGGAGATGGAGCACTGGCCTCCTTATTTCAAAATTAATTGCCTGAACCAGGTGGTAGTGGTGAATGCCAACAATCCCAGCAATCAGGAGGCAGAGACAGGAGGATCTCTGTGAGTTGAAGGCCAGCCTGGTCTACATAGAGAGTTCTTAGCCATAGGACAGCTAAGGCTACATAGAGAGCCTCTGTCTATAAACAAACAAGTAAAATTAATCACCTGGTGGCCAGAGAGATGGCATGGCGAGTTAGGAATGCTCGCTGCTCTTCCAGGATCTGAGCACCACAAGGTAGCTTATGGCTGCCTGTAGCTTCAGCTATGGGATCCAGCGCCCTCTTGTAGCCTCTAAGGGCACACACACAGGTACACACTTACAGAAATAGAAAGTTAAAAGTAAATCCTTAAAATAAATCACCTGCATATGTCTTTACACAGAGGGGCCTCTTGTGACATCCCAACCCCAGGATGGGGAGTCACCGGTCTCCGAGTCACCCCCTTTCTACAAGCCCAGCTTCTCTTGGGATACCCTGGCCTCCTCCTACAACCACAGCTACCAACAGACCCCCTCCACCATGCAGTCGGCTTTTCTGGAGCGCTCCGTCAGGCTGTACGGCAGTCCCCTCGTGCCCAGCACTGAGTCCCCCTTGGACTTCAGCCTCCGCTACTCTCCAGGCATGGACACTTACCATTGTGTCAAGTGCAACAAGGTGAGTGATGGACATGGATGGCATGCAGGTGTGGAGGGGCCTTCTGGGTTCCTCCTCTGCCTCCATTTTATAGACAGGAAACTGCCACAGAGAGGTAAAGGGACTCCCTGAGATACACAGAAGGACAGCAGGACCACCAATCATATAGGGATTGTAGGCATTCACCACTACCACCTGGTTCAGGGACAGGACACAGCTCCTGTCCCTGCTCCATCCTGCTCTGGAACTGGGCCTGTGACTGGATGACCACAGGCCTGCCTTCTTCTAGGGGCCTGACGCTCTGCTCTGTCCCAGGTGTTCTCCACCCCTCATGGGCTAGAAGTGCACGTCCGCCGCTCTCACAGTGGAACCCGGCCCTTTGCCTGTGACGTCTGTGGCAAAACCTTCGGCCACGCTGTGAGCTTAGAGCAGCACACACATGTCCATTCCCAGGTGAGCAGCTGGAAAAGGCTGAAGGTGACACACACTGCTGTGTGAGGGGACTCGCTACTTGCCTCCCCCGTCTGAGTCTCCTAACTGGGTCTCTGATTAGCTGAACTGGCTTCACATCTGGTTGGAAGAAACTCTGGGGATTTGGGGATGGGAGGCTGGAGTATGACTGTGAGGCTTGGAAACCATCCTGGGTGGCCCTGCAGGCATCCTCGAGTCTTAGAGTCTTGGAGTTAGGTTAAATGCACAGCTCACCCCACTTATCTCTGTCAGATGGAACCCAAACTTGGGACCCATTCCTTTCCAGAGCGGAACACGTGTCTATCCAGCACTCTACCTGATTCCAGAGAGGCCATATAGGGCAGATGGAAGTGGATTACTAACAGCTCGTAGATGAGAAATTTGGGGTGTGACCCCAGGAGCTTCCATTCCTCAGCAACAGACTAGGAGCTTACTCTGTCTTCAACTTCCCAGCCTCCCACAGCCCACCCAGGCCACTGCTATAACTGCCCCAATGCAGAGAAATGAAGTAACCTACCAGTACCAGGCTAAATGGCTTGCTCCAAATCATATGACTACTGGGTTGGGAAGGTGGCTCAGTTAGTAGAGTGCTTGCCTAGCAAGCATACTTGAGGCCCTTGGTTTGAGCCCCAACACCAAATGAACTGGGAATGGTTGTGCACATAACAGCACTCAGAAAGTGGAGGCAGGAGGGTCAGAAGTTCAAGGTCAAGCTGGGCTACATGAGACCTGTCTTCACTAAACTGATTCAGCATGTCACTGTCCCAGGCACAAGGAACTCACTCTGGGTTACTGGTGAATTCCTGAAAAGCTTAGACTAGTGGCTTCATTGGTCAGTCAGCAAACACACCTTGAGGCTTATTTTGAGAAGGATACTGTGAAAGCCACAAGAAACTACCTCATAGGAAGCCAGGCAGGCCCCAACATCAGTCTAAGCAGAGGAAGCAGGAATAGGAGTGGAGTTCTTCCTGATCCTCTAGACCCGTATCCTCGAGGCCACCCCAACGGAGTGTCCTCTTTCTCAGGGTGTCCCAACCGGGTCCAGTCCTGTGCCCAGCTTGGCTGTCCCAGGCCTCGAAGCCCCACCTGCACCTGACCCCCCAGGGCCTCGTTTCCTCCGGCAGGAGCGTAGCTTTGAGTGCCGGATGTGTGGCAAAGCCTTCAAGCGTTCATCCACCCTGTCTACCCACCTGCTCATCCACTCCGACACTCGGCCCTACCCCTGCCAGTTCTGTGGGAAGCGCTTCCACCAGAAGTCAGACATGAAGAAACACACCTACATCCACACAGGTGAGTGCACCCATGCTGTAGCATCTCCTTGCCTGGTCTCTGAGCACCCTATTATTGGCCAAGAGCCCACTTGAGGGGGTTGGCGTGGAGGGCTGGACAGTCATTCAATGGAAAGATAGATAGCCAAGTCAGCATGGACCTTCGGCCAAAATTCAGACAGCGTGTGAATTATTCATCCACCCTCTCACACAGCCGTTCACTCTGTCACACTCTCCCCACTGTAACTCAGTGCTGGTTTGGACCAGCACTTGCACAAGCCATGGGGATCTACTAAGAAACAAGGAAAGTCTGTGCTAGCTTGGACCAGCTTAGACTCCAGAGAGAGGCAGTATCAGTTACTTTATGTTATATGACAAGGATGCCTGTTGGAAGCTACTTACGAGAAAGGTAGAGTCCATCATGGCAGGAAGGCATGGTGGCAGGAGCATGAGGCAGCTGGTCACATTACCTCCCCAATCAGGAAAGAGAGGGAGAAAGGCTGGGGCTTAGCTTGCTTTCTACCTTTAATGCCGTGGGTCAGGACCCCAGCCCATGGAACAGTGCCAACCACATAAAGTTCCTCACAGATATTCCCAGAAGTGTGTCTCCTGGGTGATCCTAAGTCTCATCAAGTTGACAATTCTGACCACCAGAGAGACACTTTTGTTTGTTTGCTTGCTTGCTTATTGAGACAAATTCTCATGTAGCCCAGGCAAGCCTTGAAGTTAATATGAAGTTGAGGCTGATGTCACCCTCAACCTCAAAATTCCCCTGCCTCTACATCCAGGATGCTGGGGTTAGTTGTGCACCACCATACCTGGTAAAGGGTGTATCAATCTTTCCTTCTTTCTTTCTCTCTTTCTTTCTTCCTTCCTTCCTTCCTTTCTTCCTTCCTTCCTTTCTTTTTCTTTTTCTTTTTCTTTTTCTTTTTGGAAATAGGGTTTCACTGTGTAACCCTGGTTGCCCTGAAACTCACTCTGTAGACCAGGCTGGCCTCAAACTCAGAGATCCACCTGCCACTGCCTCACAAGGGCTAGGATCAAGGTGTATGCCACCACTTCCTGGCTATTTTCCATCATTCTCTAAGGTTGGCCACAAAAGAGACATAATAAAGAATGAATGTCTGCAGGATGGAGGCTGTAGGCCGGGCACTGCCATCTAACCCCACCCTGCTGTTTTTCCCTCCCGCAGGTGAGAAGCCTCACAAGTGCCAGGTGTGTGGAAAGGCCTTCAGCCAGAGCTCCAACCTCATCACACATAGTCGCAAGCACACAGGCTTCAAGCCCTTCAGTTGTGAGCTGTGCACCAAGGGCTTCCAGCGCAAGGTGGACCTTCGCCGCCACCGTGAGAGCCAACACAACCTCAAGTGAGACTAGCTGCCAGCCTGCTCCAGTGTCTCATCCTCACATTCTGACCCTTATCCTCCTGGAAGCAGCACTGGCCAAGAGACTTCGGGCTTCTTTTGAGACTCGTGGAGTTGCCAGGTGGCCTCAAGCAAGCCACACTCCTTCTTGGACTGCCACACGGTGTAGGAGTCAGCTCGGGCCTTTCTGAACTGGAGTAGTCACAGATGTCTTGTACCTGCCAGAGTATAGACAACTACAAGACCCTAGTGGACAAAACCAGGATGCCAAGGCCAAACAAGATCAGGGATCCACAGAGAAACCCTCCTGCCTGCTTCTCTGAGCCTGGGGACTTTAAATTTTTAAGGATTCTTTTTCTGACTGTCACAGTCAGAGTTGCCACCCGCCTCAGCTTGAGGTCTGGCACCCCTCTTCTTTAGCCAGATGTGCTGGCTGTTGTCCCCCTCTCCCTGCCCCTGTCACATTCATCTGGGAGTCAGGTTCCCCAGTTAAGCCTCAAGGCTGGGAAATGAGGAGTTGGTGTGTCAGAGGCCTGTTCCTCTCGACTGATGTAAATAAAAATAAACATGGAATCATTTACATGTGACCACCGTTTGTAAAATGCCTACTAGGTACCTGGCCTGTCTGATGATTTTAGAGCCTTGACAAAGAGCTAACAGACCAACTGAGAAGCATCATGACCAGTGCCCCAAAGGCAGGGCTTGTGCTGCTGCAGGGCAGTATCATTCTCCTGCAGCAGCTATAAGGAATAGCCACAGACCTCTTTAGTGTTGCCTTGTGAGTATGGCAAATGGAATTTGGCAGGAGTGATTAAGTTTAGCCTGGGGCTGCTGCCTGACTAGCTGTGACTTCAGGTGTGGCCCTGAGCCTCTCTGGGGCTCAGCTTTATTGAGCTACATTGTAATCACAAGAGTTCTGGGAATATCAGCAGGATTCGTGAGACTACCCATGGAAAACAGTGTGCAGGACCCAGTTCTTGCAAGCACTACCAAGTCCTCAGCATTCCTGTCTAAAGACCTGCCCCTGTAATAAGGCAATACCAATGCCACCTTCTCCATGAAGCCTCCCTTGGTCATCCCAGAGGCTCTCTCCCTGACACTAAACTACTTGTAGTTCTTGCCTATAGCCTAGGAGCTGCTCACAGTCTTCTGTAGACAGTTTTGGCCTTGATAGAAGGTACAGACACAAGAGTTTCCATACATTTTCTCCACTCAGCACTACCCTCTACAAGGCATGTGAATTTGTCCCACTTTACAGATGAGACAACTGAGGCTCAGAGAGCACAGCATATTGGAGATAAGAGGGTGTTCAGAAAAGAAATTCCATGGGGGCTTTGCAATAGTGGTGGCACAGTGCTTGTCTAGAATGTGTGAAGATTTGGGTCCAATTCTTGATTTAAAAACAAACAAACAAACAAACAAAAAACAAACCCACAACCAAAAAACAAAACAAAAAGCCTTCAAGGAATTTCATTGTCTTTAAATTGCTCCTCTGCAAGACACAGTTTAACTCTGTGTGTGTGTGTGTGTGTGTGTGTGTGTGTGTGTGTGTAGGCCAGATCTGTCTCAAGTATTAGATGGCTGTATTTGTTACTCTATTGCTATGATCAAACCCTATGGTTCTGTGGTAGTGGCACACACCTTTAATCCCAGCACCCAGGAGGCAGAGACAATTGGATCTCTGTCAGTTTGAGGCCAGCCTGGTCAACAGAGTGAGTTTCAAAACAGCCATGGCTACACACACAGCATGGACAAGGCTACTTGTGGAAGGCAAAGTTTACTGGAGTTTATGGTTCCAGAGGGTTAAGAGCCATCACAGTGGGAAGAATGGCAGCTGGAGCAGGGAGCTGAGGGCTCACAGCTTGAACAGCAAGCATGAAGCAGAGAAAATGAACTAAAAATGGCACAAATCCTTAAACTCAAATCCTGCCTTCAGTGACATACTTCCTTCAACAAGGCCACACCTTCTAAATCTCCCAAAGAGTGCCACTAACCAAGTGGGGACCAAGTGTTCAAATGCCTGAGGCTGTGGGAGACATTTCATTCAAACCACCACAAGGGCTGTCCCTCTCACAGGGACCCAGGGCTCATTGATTCAGCTAGGTGGGAGAGCCCAAGCCAGCGCAGCAATCCTCCTGTCTCTGCCTCCCCAGCACTAGGATTACAAGTGTGTAGATCTACACCTTTTGTGAGTACCAAAAATAGAATTCAAGTCCTCATGCTTGTAAGGCAAGCTCTCAACCCAGGCCAGCCTTGCTCTCTTAAGCTGACTTGTTTAGGGTGTTTGCCCCCCTTGCTACAAATGTGAGACTCTTTCTGCCCAGATAAAGCAAGGAACTGGCCCAAAGCCACCCTTAGTGTGTGTGTGTGGGGGGGGCGCGGGGGTGGAGGTGGGAGGGATCCTGCACCTCTCAGGTAAGAAGACAAAGTATGAAGGTAGGGAATGGGTATAGTCTGTGCCTACATGTACTCCTGCTTCTGTGTATATACACCCCCGCCCCAACACACACAGACCTGCTTTGCATGTGTCTTGTTTTCTAAACAAAACCAAGACAATCCCA